CCCGTAACATAAAGCATTAAAGCTAAAATATTAAACCTAAAACGTTAACGTAAAACATTACACTTAAAACGTTGAATTTATAGTGCTAAACCTAAACCTGAAACCGAAAACCTGAAATCGGAAAAACTTAAACCTAAAACCAGAAACATAAAACTTGAAACGTAACCCGCAAACTGCAAAAAAACGTGACCTGTAACTTGCAACCCGTAACCTGCAACTCGCTATCCGTAACCGGCAACTCGTTACCTGTAACTCGTAACCCGTAACCTAAAATATTAAACATAATACGCTAAACCTAAAACATTAAACCTAAAACGTTAAACCTAAAACGTTAAACCTTAAACCGAAAACATAACCGGTAAACTGCAAAAACCATAACCTGTAACCGCGAAACCGTAACCCATAACCTGCAACACGTAACCAGTAACATAAAACATTAAACCTAAAACTTTAAACCTATAACATTAATTGTTAAACCTAAAACTTAACGCGTAACCCAAAAACTGCAAAAACCATAATCAGTAGTCTGTAGCCTGCAAATCACAAACCGTAACCCGCTACATGCAAATAAAAACCCATAACTCAATACCTGCAACTCAAAATTTGCAACCTAAAACTTGCAACTCGTAACCCGTAACTTAAAACGTTAAACCTAAAATATTAAACCAAAAAGTTAAACATAAATGTTCACCCTAAAACGTTAAACCTAAAACCGACAACATGAAATTTAAAACCTAAACCTTAAGGCAAAACTACTTGAGTGAAAAAACCGTTACACTTAACATGCAACTCGTAAACCCGTAACCTAAAAAGTTAAACCTAAAATGCTAATGATAGGTCTAAAACGTTCAAACTAAAACGTTAAACCAAAAACCTGAAATCTAAAACCATAAATCTAAAACTTAAAACATAACCGGTAAACTGCAAAAATCATAACCTGCAACTCATAACCTGCAACATGCAACCTAAAACTGTAAACCAAAAACCAGAAATCTAAAGTCTAAAGTCTTAAACTTAAATTGTAACCGTTTTTAAATTGTAACCAGTCAGTAATCTGCAAAAACTGTTAGCTGAAAACTGCAACTCTCAACCCGCAACATGCAACTTGTAACTATTAACCCAAATGTTAAACCAACCTAAAATATTAAACTGAAAACTGAAAACCAGAAATCTAAAACCTAAAATGTTAAACCAAAAACTGAAAACTAGAAATTTAAAAAACCTAAAACTTAACTGCAACCCGTAACTTGCAACTCGTAACCCTTAACCTAAAACTTTAAAACTTAAATATTAAACCTAAAACAGACAACATGAAATCTAAAACCTAAAACTTAAAGCCTTACCTGTATCCGTAAAATTGAAACCGCTAAACTGCAGCCCATAACCGGTAATACGTAACTGGTACATCGTAACCCACACATCATAACCCGTAACCAGAAATCTGAAAAACCGTTAACATCAAACCATACCCTTAAATCGTAACCCTCAACTCTTTACCCGTAATTTGTAAATCCTAATTACATTAGTCGAAAACCGTAACCGCCAAACCATAAACGGTAATCGGTAACCCGTTTACGTAACCCGTATCACAAAAAACGTAACCTCCAAACCGTAACCCGTAATCTGCAATCCGTAACCTTTAACCCTTTACCCGTACCCCACCAACTGTAACCTGTAACACGTAACCCGAATAACTGTCACTGTCATACTGTAACTCCTAAATCATAAACCGTTACCGAATACCCGTAAACCCGTTACTCGAAAACCCGTCACGCGACTGCCATCAGGTGTTAGAGCCTTGTCGTGGCTTGGCAGCTTGTGTATCTCGATGACCCCAAGAGCTATACCAGCGGGAGTGTAAACTCCTGGTAGGTTCAACCAAGCTGGGAAGATCTTCGTGGGTAGGGATCAGACCAAAGCTAGCACCCTGGTCCTCCAGGTTAAGGGTTGAAATATAAGGCCAGCAACCTTATCTCGTAAAAAAAGAACTGCTATTAAAACTGCATGTACACAAATCCAACATTTACTCGAGGTTCCTTTCTAGAAGTTCGAATCCAGGTTCAAGTCAATAGACTGTCCCTGAGTCCACCCAACTCTGATGGGTACCTAACTCACGTTAGGGAGAGTAAAGGCAGCTGGGCATAGTGCTGACCACACTATCTCTTCATAATATGCCGAGGTCACAGAAACAAGTGAACTCTACTTCACTTGCCCCATAAACTGTCAGGTTTGAAAAGGGAACTTTACTTACTTTACCTTTCTAGAAGAGCACATGATGCCTACTAGTGAAAGCCCGTAAAAATGCTCCATAGTCTTGTTCAGTGGCGTAGGCAGGGGGGGGTTAGGGGGGGTCATAACCCCCCCCCCCCATAGACCCCTCGGTATATATAAAAAGTATGAGGGGGGGGTGCAAATCGAAAGTTTGAGGGGGGGGGGGTGCAAATCGAAAGTTTGAGGGGGGGGGTGCAAATCGAAAGTTTGAGGGGGGGGGTGCAAATCGAAAGTTTGAGGGGGGGGGGTGCAAATCGAAAGTTTGAGGGGGGGGGGGGTGCAAATCGAAAGTTTGAGGGGGGGGGGGTGCAAATCGAAAGTTTGAGGGGGGGGGGTGCAAATCGAAAGTTTGTCCCCGGGTAAAAATTGGAACCCCCCCCCTTGAGACGATCCTGGCTACGCCACTGGTCTTGTTGTTAAAACCATTTTCAGAACGGTCTTGAATAATTTTTTTTTAAGCTGTGAATCTGGAAATTTTAAAACTCAAATTTTGCGAGTCCGGATAGTGAAAAAAAATACTATTCTTGATTCCGAAAATCCGAGTTATCCTGAAAAGTGGCACCCCTTTTATTAGTGCTTAATAAATTCAAACACTTTTTTTAAGAAATTGAAAATAGCGTAAAGTTCTTCTAAATTTTAAAGAAGGCAGAGAATTAGATCTTTTACTTAGATGTGAAATTTTGTTTATCTATCCGAAACAGTACTCAAGTTGTAGGCTTTTGAAAACCCAAAGTAGAATAACTTCCACTTCCGGGAAAAGTTGATACAGAACTACAAATTTGATATAATACGTTATATGAAATTTCATCAACCTAGCTGTAACGGTACTCAAGTTTTTGTGTTCACAGATATACAGTAATACACACACATACACACACTGACACAATTGCAAAACAATGTTTTACCGCCTCATGGAGGTGTAAAACGTTGAGATTTGATTTTTTTGCACGATTACAATACTTCCTCTAAACTTCGTATACGAGAAAGTAAAAACAATAAGAGAACAAACTGTTTCAATATGATCAATTTATGTACATGAGTATGACATATAATTCAAAATATATTTAAAGAACTCAATAAATAACTTAAAACAAAATTAAAATGATCTGTTAACTTTTTTTTTTAGTTTTCTTTTAAATTCATTGTGCATTTTGTAGGCTATAACTATCTATCTAGCTGATTTACAGTTATGCCTTACAATTTGCTATTTACAATTATTGTTTTCAAACATGAACACACACACACAAGTTTGAGAGAAAGTAAGTTTACAACACAGAATCTATGATAACTCCTTAATCTGATAGTTTAGTTATGGGTCATTTATGAAATCAAATAAATTACTAATACATAGTTTATAATGTTTAATGCTGTAGAAAAATAACATACAGGTTTGTAAGAAAATGTGGAAAATGCATGCTGTAAACCTACAACATTGTAGTCACACAGGTGAGTGCATCTAAAGCACACAAGGGACAACCCACATTATTAATTATTAAATTTTAATGTGGTTTGTTTCCCCTTAGTTATTTAATACAAATGATTGCATTCGCTTGAATATGTTACTACTTTAAAATATATAATTTAATAGAATTGATAAAATGAAGAAAACTGATTAGGATCTTAACTAAACTATTAATATTATGTAGAAAACATTTTTATTTATTTAAATCTCTCTAGAATAAAAGAGGGCATTAAAGAAGATAAAATAGGTAGTTGGAGAAGTAGGTAATACATTTTAAAACAAAACAAAAAATAAATATGCTGAGGTAACTTCAAAATGGAAACACAAATTGTATTGCTTTAATTTTGTCCTTGAATAGAATGTAATAACTTATCCATAGTCAATATTTGCAGTTTGTAGGTAGTTGGAGACATTTCTACACCTACATAACAAAACTCCTCTACACCACCTGTACACTTCCTATCATGTGAAAGCAAGCGTACACATTTTCTCATGTTTCCTCTGTGACTGAAACACCTCTACACCTCCCATAAAAACACCTCTACACCTGCCATAGAAACACCTCTACACCTGCCATAAAAACACCTCTACACCTGCCATAAAAAACACCTCTACACCTGCCATAAAAACACCTCTACACCTGCCATAACAACACCTCTACACCTTCCATAACAACACCTCTATACCTGCCATAGAAAAACCTCTACACCTGCCATAAAAACACCTCTACACCTGCCATAAAAACACCTCTACACCTGCCATAGAAACACCTCTACACCTGCCATAGAAACACCTCTACACCTGCCATAACAACACCTCTACACCTGCCATAGAAACACCTCTACACCTGCCATAGAAACACCTCTACACCTGCCATAGAAACACCTCTACACCTGCCATAAAAAATTCTCTACACCTGCCATAGAAATACCTCTACACCTGCCGTAGAAACACCTCTACACCTGCCATAGAAATACCTCTATACCTGCCATAGAAAAATCTCTACACCTGCCATAGAAACACCTCTACACCTGCCATAGAAACACCTCTACACCTGCCATAAAAACACCTCTACACCTGCCATAAAAACACCTCTACACCTCCCATAACAACACCTCTACACCTGCCATAAAAACACCTCTACACCTGCCATAACAACACCTCTATACCTGCCATAGAAAAACGTCTACACCTGCCATAGAAAAACCTCTACACCTGCCATAGAAACACCTCTACACCTCCCATAAAAACACCTCTACACCTCCCATCATGTGAAGGCAAGTGTACACATTTTCTCATGTTTCCTCTGCGACTGTGCGTAATGAAAAGCTTTCCCGCACACCTTGCAGGCAAACGTCTTCTCCCCCGTGTGCATGTTCAGGTGACCCTGGAAATCTTCTTTACGAGAAAACCACTTCCCACACTCAGGGCAGCAGTTGCCACGGGTGTAAGAATGAGCCAGAGACAGGTGGTGGGCCATTTCTGTTTTTTCTAGGAAAGTCTTTGGACAAAACTTGCACCTGTTTGAGGTAGAACCGTAGCCTGGGTTGTGCGTGTAGCTGGATGTGTATGTACATGGAAGGTTGAATAGTGAGTCTTCTTTGCTCAAATATGGATGAGAAGCTGTAGTTGGATGAGCCTTGCTTGGATGCCATTCCTGAGTCTGTTTAAAAAAAGTGGTAAATAAAAAAACTGAGACATTAATTTAAGATTATTTTTATAGGTCTTAGTTTTATGAACTGTAACCTGAATCTATATTTGTATACCTTATGTTCATTTGTTAACTTGAGGTTGTTGTATTTTTTTTTTTTTTTTTTTATAAAAAGCTTATATTAAAAATCTAAACTAGGAACAATCAAAATTTACATTTATTTATATTTTATGCTAGCAAAACACTTCAGCAAATTTAGGCTTTAGAATTTTAACAGCTTTTTATCCTGTAACAAATTATTTTGTATAACTGAAGAAGAGAAAATGTAAAAACACTGACAAGAAACACTCTAACATATGGTTCTAACTCTTCATAACAAAAGGTTAATTTCTGTGTAAACAGGTCCAAATGTTACATAGGTTCAGTTGTTTTTAACATGGACACTTCATGAGTGATTGAATGTATAAAACTTGTATTTAACGTATAAAAGTAACGTATATTCAGGTTATAAATAATTATTGTTAAATATGAGATAATTACCATCAAATCAATTTTATCCCATTAATTTATTACAAAACTTTTGATGCCGATGCTTGGACTGACTGTATGCAAAGGATTCTCCACACTTCAAACACTTGTACGGTCGTGAACCTTTATGCATGTTCATATGGCCTCGGAGATTTAAAGCCGTCGTAAACTTTTTCCCACACAGCGGACATATAAGCTGACCTACGCTGTCACCATGCACAGTTCTTTTATGCTGGCACAACAAGCGTGACGAGCCAAAGATGTCGTCACATGACTGACATGGGTACACGCTGACGCCGTGGTTGATGTTCATGTGCATCAGCCTGTCCTTACTGTCACGGAACACTTCCCCACACATGGTACACGGCACCATCTCGCCCTTTACTGAGGGCATGGACAAAGTGGGAGGGAACGACTGGTGCATGGAAGAAAATGCCAGGGACATTGGACAAAAGAGATAGTGAGCTTTAAGTTCGTCTGGATAGGAAAACACTTGTTGGCAGCTGGAGCAATGAAGGCCTTGAGTTGGGTATGGATGTGATTGTGTAGAGAACTCTCTCCCAGTTGCCTGTTGATGATAGAAGATAAAGAGAACTAAGCAACAGGTGAACTGAAGCACCAGTAATTAGTGGATTACTTCATGGATTAAATATGATTTTGTTCATGCCAATATAAGACAGTAAAAAATAATAGCTAAAAGTGTGTGCTATTTTTTATTTACAAAAATGTTTTGTTTTTTTTTAGATTGGGTGTGATTTTAGTTTTCTGATAATTTTAAAAACTTGAAACATCATTTATTGTAACCCATTTGGTGCCTACTTAATATTTCACATCATTTTAAGATTCTAGCACTGGTAAGAGTAAAAGTATTTTCAGTTCACCCTTGTGTTCCCTTTTCAATCTAGCATCAAAAGACTCATGGAATATTTTTCTCAACATTCAATCTGTTGGAATGTTTGAGGATTTTTTAGCTTCTCTTTCTTAAAAATATTTTCCCCACAGAGTATCTTCTTTATTTATTTTTTTTTTGTTTTTTTTTTTAATTTTTACAAATTTTAAGACAATCCATACCATAAGATAAAATGTGTTGTAAAAATGTTTGTGACTACACAGTCATGATGGTTGTAACAAGAGTAACATTAATTGAAGCTGCTGTTTACATTAGTCACACTAAACTGCAAGAAAACTGGTATTGTTAATTGCCTTTCTCCAAAAACTAAACTTTAAGTTATTTGTGGCATAAACACTAGCACATTACAACACAGGAATAAAGAAATATTTGCTACTCAGCTGAAATTTAACGACATTTTGCCTTTTAATCCCACTTATAGCACTCTCTGTTGAATTTCAACATTTTATAACAATTTTTTAAAAGATATATAAAGTGGGATTAAAAATACTCTTATTCACATGTTTACATAGCCAAAATATTTGAATAGAAAAAATTTTGAAAATGGTTTTAACTGACAAAACAAATTTTATTTTTGTTTGAAAAGACAAACTTTTTCTTACAAAAATTCTATTATGTATTTGGAAAGCAACAGAAATTTGATTTCCATAACAAAAATGCTAGGTAGATATGTACATTGCTCCAGTATTATAATACAATCTAGAGAGTTGAACATTAAACAGGACTATACAAATTACATTTTTTTTAAATTGTCCTTGAAGTATTGAATTTTTTTTACAAAAAGAGATTCAAATGAAAAATTATAAGCCCTTGTTATTACATGGACAAAAAAAAAGTTTACATTAAAAATAAATAACATAAAAAATAAGCCATTCTTACATTACAATATATTTTCCAACCAAGACATTTTACTTAATAATTTTAAAAAATTTTAACAGTTGTTAACATTAACTTACTATAAGAAATAAACTGAAAGGAGTAGTCTTTTAAGGCACATAAAACTAGATTGGTTTTAAAACTGGTTAAATGGATGTTTACCCTTTCCCAGATGTACTGACAATAAAGTTTGTCTAACAATTTAACCTGTGTTTAACAGTAGACAAAAAATGGACAAGGCACTAATAATTGAAGAAAATTAGTGCTATAAAATTGTTTACAATTCTTAGACTATTTACAATCAATAGTTATTATACTTAGGGAACAGAGATTTTTAACTTAATATATTTTTTAATAAGCAATCTATCAGACCAATTGTTCAAAATTTATATCTTTTTGATCTTCATCTTTCTGTATGATTAGATAAGGATGTTTTTTAATTATATGTCGCCTTAAACCGTACTCAGTGGTAAATATATGTTCGCAGCCCATACACTGTAGAGCGATGCCAGCATGCATGTTCATGTGATCTCGGTGCGTACTCTTACAGGTGAATCCCTTAGAGCAGACCTCACACCTATAAGGAAACTTGTCCAAGTGTTTGCTCAGCACATGCGTGTGGAAGCCACGGTTGGAGGTGAAATCTTTACCGCACTGATCACAAATAAAGTGGCCCTTCTCATACACCTTGTAAGGCCGGGGTATTCCCATGTGGATACTTTTACAATGTGCTCGCACGCGGCTCCTGTAGGCTGTGGTGTAAGAGCATTTTTTACAGTGGCACATCAGGGCTCTTTTCTCCCACAGCTGGTCCACCAGATGATAGTCTTCCTCGTTTACGTGCTTGGCTTTCATTTTGACTGAGACAGTTTTGGGGATGGGTATAACTTCCATACCCCTGGTCTTCCGTTTTTTGTTTTTGTTCTGGAAGTGGAAGGCATATTGGGTTGGATTATTTTTAGACATATACTGAGAATGCTCATAACAATGATCTGTGCATGATTTTTTTCTCATTTAAAACCCCTTTATTATAAATTCAGTTTACAGGTTTTAATGAAATAGAAATAAGAAGTTGAAGTGTATATCAATATTAATGTTAAAAGACTTTTTTTTTTAAATTTGTGTTACCTTTTTAATATACCCCTTTATTAGCTTTATTGTGTTTCTTTCTCTAAAAATGTATGAATTGATGACTCAGTAACAATCCAAAAAATATTGTTTATATTGTAGCCAAATAAAAACAAAGTTGACCAACTTTTCTATTAATTTTCAACATTTGTTCTAAAAACTCAATTTAAGTATAATTCTATTATTTTTAAAAAGAAAAACAATTGTAATCCATCATAATTTTGATTTTTTTTTCTTCACTTTATTTAAATCAATGTAGACTCAGATTTGCAAAAAAAATATTACAGCAAATGCTTGATACATTACAATACTGTAAGATTCTCTCATTCTTACATTTTATTTTAAATTTAAAAAAAAAAACAGTAGGAAATACAATCAGAAAGTGTATATAGAGACATGAGATTTTATGATCATCAGTATATTATGATTTTACAAACAAAAGATGAGATAGGTCTGATGAGTAAAATAAACTCAAAACATTATGCATGATCAGGTAAGATTCCTGGTGGGTACATATCAAATGCTACTTGTGGAAGCACATAGTCATTGTTGGTTTGTTGTCCATACATGGTTTCATTGAGTGAGTTCCCAATGGTGCTGGTATTAGATATGGTGGAGATATCAATGGACTGCAGGGGTTGGTATGAAGGACTGTTAAAGTCAAATGTTTGGCCTGTGCTCTGAATGAGGTTGGAGTCAGAGCATATTTTTTTGGTCTCATCAAACGGCTGGTACGTCTCACTGAAGGCAAAAGACCGTCCAGGTTCCAGACTTGAAGTGTTCCTGTCTTCAGCACAAGTTCCACTTTTGTTTGGGTGCAGCTGGGAAGGGGGCAAGCTGACACTACTGTTTACACTGCTTCTAAAACTCATCTCAGACTTGACAGATGTGTGGTTGGATTGAGATCTAGTCTTGCCCGCATTGGATACAATTTTTGTGCACCTTTTCTCATGGGTTATAAGAGATTTCGAATGGCCGTAGCTTTTGCCACACCTCTTACACTTGAAGGGCTTCAAACCAAGATGCATGTTCATGTGGCCCTCTAAATTAGCCCGGTTGTGAAAAGCTTGCCCACATATCTGACACAAGGTCTTGGGGTCAGGCTTGTGCTTGGCCTTGGTGTGGCTCAGGAGACCCGAGCTGCTGAGAAACATGACGTCACAAAACTTGCAGCCAAATGTTTTATGGTTGTGCATGAGCTTCAGGTGCTGCCTCATCTCCGGCTTGCTGGGGAACTTGTCCCCACAAGTCAGGCAGATCATGCTGCAGGAAGGTGAAGGACAGTTCTTGCTGTGCAGGCTCAGGTCATCATACTCTGTGAGAATCACAGAGCAGTATGAGCACTCATAAGCGGCAAACTTGCCAATCAGCTCTGAAGCTCCCCGCTTCCCTATGCCACTTGCTTTTGATCCTTCTAGTTCTGCCTGGTGGAATAAAATTAAAAAGAAAAAAAGACAGCCATTGTACTGTGTGAATGTTTCATTTATTAACAACACTCAGCACAACATTCAATGAAATATTAATCTTAAAAACTCTTTTGGTAGAACAAGTCCAAGCCTAATTTTTAAAAACAAAACAAAGCTAATACAACAGAAAATATGTGGGTTAATAGCTTATAACCGTAAGAACAAAATTAGAATAAAAAGTTTTGAGAGATTACAGCTTTGTGAAAAATGATATTGTAACAACATAAGGTTTACAGATTTTTCAAAATTATTTGATAATTGATAGTAACTTAAACTTTTTATAAATACATTTCTATATTTCACTCATACAGTTATGCATTAAAAAAAAATTTTTAAAAAGACATTTTTGAAAAAAATTTTAACTTACATTAAAATTTATCAAAACAAGAATGACACAAAGTAGACAAAACTAAATCTAATATAATGGTTATTTGTCCTGCTTTACTTATTTATGTCTATTCATAAACATCACCCTTAACAATTTGTTAACACTGTGGGGCATATAAAAACCTGTACATATTTAAAACTAAAAAAAAATTGTTAGTTGCACATTTTTTGGTGGGCATATTGAGATTGTTGGTAAGCAAAGGTTTTTCCACATTTAGCACACACATAGGGTTTTTTCCCCAAATGCATATTCATGTGGCCTTTGTAGTTGATTTTACAGTGGAACGTCTTTGTACAAATGGAACAGACAAATTTTGGTTTGTGTTCCCTGTGAATGTGCCCATGAAGCGCTGCCATTGTAGGACACCAGATGGTGCACTGTGAGCAGGGAAAATAGTGATGGACAGCTCTCATGTGATGTGTCAACTCCTCTGTAGACTCCAACATCAGAGGACACACCCTACACTGAACACTGGTGTAGTTCCCAGCAGCAGCACAGCTGATTACATGGTCGCTGAACAAATTGGGTTCAATAAATGTCCTCAAACAAGAAGGACACTCTAGGGTCTCTCGTTTTATGGCTTCTTGGTCCAGGGTTGGATAGGACATGGTTTGATGGCCATGAGGCATCCTATTAGAGTAGTTACTAGGTGTTGGGTTAGGTTTTGATTGTCTTGCAGTCAATCCATGCCATGAAACCTGGTTGGTAGATGAGACACAGATAAAACTTAGCTACTGGCATTCTCATTTAAATCCTTTAGAAGTAAATACATTGTAGTGTAGTTTACAATTACCTATTAAAAACAGACACTTTATGTTTATGCCCTATGTTTATATTTATCTCAAGATAAGAAAAAAAATTGTTTAATGTAATTGAAATGTTTTAATTGGACTACATGAAGTAAAACAAAAATTCAGTTTAAAATATTACAGTTCAATTGTAACCTTACAACATTCAATCAATAAATAAAATACACACTATTCAGTTGATAAAAAAATCAATACTACTGTACAGTTAAAAAACAAGTTTATATTAAAAACTTAAATGTAAATGCAAATTGTACTAGTCTGTCAAACTTTTAATATACATATTTCCATGAAAATAATTGGTCACATATTTAAAATATACATGCCTTTGTTTTCAAATAAAATTTCTAACCCATAAAAATTTATGTCAATATATTTTTAATTTTGCAAGATTTTTCTAAATATTATATTTTTAAACCTAAAAAAAAAACAATGAAATGTTTGATTACTTTGTAAACAATTCAGTCCCAAGTGGATTAACGTGGTTTAAGTGGACATAGTTTATCATGAGCACATAATGATTGTCGATAAGAAAAAGTCTTTCCACAGTAAAGGCAAACATGTGGCTTAACACCATTATGTTGGTTAATATGTCCTTCCAGGTTCATTTTGTTGTACATACTTTTTCCACATATATGGCATTTTAAAGTTGGATTGGATGCGTGTTTAACTTCAATGTGTTTCTTCAGACCTGTGTACGTTTTGAAGACAGCGCTGCATTTGTCGCAAGACATTTCATGCGCAGATGAAAGGTGCTTTAGCCTGATGTGCATCTCAACTTCATGCAGTGAGTGTGAGATGAGGTGGCAGAGTGAGCAGAAAAATGTCATTGAAGGCCTCACACAGAAGGGGGCATGAGTTTGGTAATCTTGTTCTGCAGGGAACATTTGAGGACAAGAGGTGCAGCCAAACACGACAGCGGCGGTCCGAGGCGAGTAGGCAGCTTTTGAAAACACTGAGTCAGAGTGTGGGCTACCAATCTGATGGGTAGATAAAACGATGGCAAGTGTTACTCAGGGAGCCAAGGTCAAGGGAAAAGTTGGAAAATGTAAGGAACCACTACCACAGTTAACAAAGTGTATGCTACATGAGGTCCTATTAAAATCTTTACTTTAGATACAGAAATGAAGTTTAATTGTTATAAATCTGTTTAGATATGCAAGGGACAAACTGAATCCTTAAACAACTATGCCAAACACTTATGCCCTAAGTTATTGTTAAAGTAATACATAATTCGCTAAGAATAAAATGATCTGTTTATCATATATGACATAAAAAGCTCATTTATTCAGCAGTATACTGAGTAACAAATTAGGTTCTTTTCTAAAGAAAACCATTTTTATGCTAAAATAAAGATGATTTTTTTATTGACCCTACATTAAATAACAGTCTATAAAGTTTTTACACATGTACATTTTCAGAAAAATCACATTACCTATTTCCACCATTAAAAAAAGGCAATGAATAAATTCTTTGTAAACTTAATCAGTAATCTTAAACAGTAAAAGTTAGTAAAAACATTTTTTCAGCGTTTGCCTGGTCACAATTACCTTATGTTTTCCCTTATCTCATTAAAAAATATTACAATTGCAAATATTTGTATACATTTTTTTTTTGTAATTTCACATGTGATATCAAGTTCAACATTTTTAAAAATAAAATTAAGTTGATATTTTATGATTATAAGTTATTTTAACAAAGATATCAAAATAATCCACATGAACAACACATTTTTCCTCTCGGATAGGCAATGGACTTTGTAACATCATGTTAAGTTTGCTTGGGCCAGCGCAAAGAACAAAGCTTTTCATGAGAGCCCATAGAAGATTTATAACAGAACGCCTTATTGCAGTAGGAGCAGCAGTGTGGTTTGATGCCCTTGTGTTGATTGATATGACCATCCAAGTCATTTTTATTGTACATGAACTTCCCACAGAAAGAACACTGGAAACGTGCTGTTTCAGAATGCTTGACTTCCATGTGCTTCTTAAGGCCTATAGGTTTTCGAAAACTGGAGGGGCATTTTTTACACTTGTACCGATTGACAGGTCTTTGGTGGACCTGCTCAAGGTGGAGCTCAATGCTTTCTTGTTCAGTGGCCCTAAAGAAGCAAGCAGAGCAGCAGAACGATATAGAAGCTTGCTGGCATCTTTCTGCATGAACTCTGAAATCCTTTTCCGTGCGAAACATACTAGAACAGGAGACACAGTCGTAAACAATTCCTGGTTCAAATTTGGAGGATTGTTCCAGTGTGGGGTAATCAGGATGGCCGGGGAGAAAGGACATGTCCGAGGTGGCACCAACCTGGCGAGGTAGAGAAATGGTTTACATAAACAACAAGATTGGGCTTGGAGATTTTACAATTACAGTTACATACTTTAAACAGATGCCAAAATCACATCATTTGTATTTTTAAATTAACTATATGAAGCTTAACATTTTTTTTAATTTCACAAGTTAGGTAAAAAAAGTTAAAATCCAATCAGCTAATCGCCCAATAAAAAAGTACACATTTATCAAGCATGATGAGGTAGACAAACATATGTTATGTAACAATATTTAGAGGGAATTTACAAAAACAAAACATTCAGATTAATTTTGAACTATGGATATGCATGAAAAAATGTGTGATGACATTATTAAAAAAAATTACAAACATTAATGTTCACCACTTTAAAAATCAACAGAAATTGTCACTATAGAATGATTGATAAGCATATTGACAATTGATGTTACAACAATGTGCTAAGTTTAATAAGATCCATTTTATGTACCATTTTGTAATTTTTTTCTGACTTTCTTGACTTTTCAAACATATACAAAGTTTTAAAAATAAGTACAAATTAATGCAACAAAACCATGTCACAAAACCAATGTCACCAATATCACTGACGCACATAGTTCTTTTTAAATATTGTCCCCTTTTTAGTTTTACTTCATTTGCAGCATAATAATGTATAAAAGAAACTGTGTTAGTGGCTATGCCTATATCAGCATCAACACATACAGCTTGGCACCCCATCATTTATACACACTGACTGAGCAATTTTACTGTCAGCTTTAAACCATCAAGGTAAACTTTGTTCACAAAGGCTTTGCTGTTGCCAAAGGAAGTTAAAGATGACAATGACCTTAATGAAAGCCTATTTATTGTGTTCTTTGTTGGAGAAAGGCTATCTTTACTATCAACTCCCTCTATAATTAGAATTTTAATTTAAAAAGTGGATATACTGTGGTAAAAATACATAAATAAAACAAATAATACCTAACTCATAACAATTAGTTAAATGTGTCATTTAATGTTATAATAGCACCACAATAAAAAAACAGCAATGTAGTCAATAATTTAAAACATTATTGTATTTAACATAAGAAAAAGAGCATTTTATAAAATTCATTTGCTAAAAATGTGATTTGCAATTGATCCTATGAAGATATGGTACAATAAAATAACTAGAAATTAGTACACACACATTTTGTTCTTTTATTACACTGCATTACACACAGACCAGAGTTTTTTGTTCATTTACTATTTTTTTCCCAACCTAGCTTTACCAAACAGTTCAGAAGAATGGCAGAGCACATGTGTAGTTGCCTCATTATCATTTACAAAATTACTACAATGTAAATAAAGACTGATGTCATTCAACTAATTTTTAAAAACAAAATACCATGCTGGATGATGAGAAAGTGATCTATTTAATGTTATACAGGATGGGGGCTCTAGTAAACTTAGAAATGAAAAATACGCAGGAAATGTGTAATGATCATCAGAAGATCATCAGAAGAAATGCCAAAAGAAATAGAGTAGGACCCTAAAACATTGTGTGCACCAAATGACTGAAGGGACTATTGAATTTTTTCTCAAAATGAGCTTTTTAAAGTACTAATTAAATTGCTATTTTGAAAACCTGTTGTTTTTTTTATCATAAAATAATCTATTAGATTAAATTAAACTAAATAAAACTATTTGATGGTAAGAAATTAGGAAATTTTATTTTATTCAGCCTTAATAAAAGTTTGTTTTTAGATTGAAAAGATTTTAATGAACAGGTTATCTTAAGCAGGATATCATACAATTTTTGAAGAAAAAAATTTAAACATAAAAGTTACATGCCAGGAGTAATATCCATTTTCATAACTGTATCAAATGAAGCAATCCATCAAATAGTTTTATTCCGGTTATTAAAACAAAGAAAATAAAAGTAATATTTACTTACCATTCCATCACTGTTTTCTTCAGCACCTATGTAAAAGAATATATTGAATATAATTTATGGCATGTAATTTGTTAAAATTTGCACACGAAATATCAACAAATAAAATAGCGAATAAAACAATGTAACAGAAACCAAACAAATTAATAAGTATGTGGTAACTAAGTTAACATCAACTGTTGTTTATGTTGATTCTTTATAATTATGGCTTGTATGTTTATCTGTTTTTCTTTCAGTTTGAAAAATTATTTGGTAAAAGTAAATGGTGAAAACCAAGCAAATTTGAAATATTTGTTTATAGATCATGCCTAGATTTTATTGTAGCAACACTGTTGGGTGTTGGTACATTCTGCTGCCTTCACCTTGGTAATCTGAGTATTTTTCTGTTTTGGTAGAGGTCTTACCATTTCTTTGGTTTAGGAAGTTATCTTTTCTTTTCATATTAGGATTATTAATGCAGGAAGTCATAAGCAGTTAGGAAACTACACAACTAAGATAATGAATGTTAGGAAAACTTTTGTATGGGTTAAGCTAGTTAGGTTTATTTTTTAGGGTAGCCTGGAGTAGAATGCACTTGTTTTGTTCTGAATGTGTATTTAAATACATTTTTTACATGATTGAATCCTGAGAGAATCACGTCATATCACACAAACTTTCAATCAGTCTTTTTTAATCTAAATATAACCCAACTGAATCAACTGAATATTTCACAAACAAATAAATAAAAAGATCATGCACTTTTTATTTTAAAATATTTATTAACCCAAACAATTCAAACAACTACTTAACAATAAACAGTAGCATTAACAAGAGAAAATAGACAAAACAATTTTAACTTTCTAAAAGGTAAACAACTTATCATTACCAGTATTAATAAATAAAATTGTGTACCAACATAAATTTGGATACATAAATATATTAAGAATTTAACATTTTGCAGTAAAAAGAAGCAAACTTGCAGATATTTTTTTAAAAATCTGTCCATAAGATATGCTTAAATTCTTAAACAGTATGCACATATATTAACTAAAAATTACAGATGCTTGAAAAAAAAAGTTTGAAATAAAATAATTTAACAAAGGGTTTACTTTAAAGTTTGATAATAATTACTATATTAAAAGCCAACTGTCATTTGATTAGCTTGTAATAATATTTTCAATCAAATATAAATCCTAATGATAACGTTCAATTCTTTTTACAAATGTCACATTAACTACTTTAATATGGCTACTTCTTAGTGGGCAAAATGGGATAAGTTAGCCGAAATGTTGGTTTTGGACATTATGAGTAGCTGCAATGAGTTCAACTATGTCCATTTCATTCCCGTATGTGATTGAAGGCTGATGCTGGTGTGAAGGATGTATACCTGATACCTGACCAACATACTGTGTAGAATGATGGACATTGACCACTGAGGCAGTGGGCTGATGACTACTTGGGTGCTCGTACACCTGTGGGCAGTGCATGCTAACTCCACCTACTGGCTGGGTCATGGTGACTAAACCCCCCATAGACTGGCCATGTGGTTCCTCATTGACTGGAGCAGCAGGTATCACTGTGACAGATGCCCCAGTGTTGTTCACCCTTAACTTGGCTGCATATTCCCCCAACCTATGGCGACGTTTACTCATCACACGTTTTTGCCTGTAAAGTTGATACTTCTCTGGGTCTTGTTTTAACTTCTTTCTATAATCTTTCATACGTTCAGCATCAGTAGGACGAGGTTCTCCGGGGCTGTACCTCTTTCTTGAAGGGACGAAGATCTCTTCAGCACCAGTCAAAATTCTTAAGAGCTTGATTTCAAGCTCCTTCATTTTTTCCTCACTGGCCTTCTGTTTCTCTAAAATCTGCTCCCTCTCAAGCTGTTTGGCATACTCTTCTTCTGTCAACTCTGGCTTCACATCGCTCTGCTTAGTTTCTGGTAGGAAATCATCAACTTTAAGTGGCAACACTGTCAGCTCGGCACTGTGAGACCCAGCTTCTGAACCTACTGTGCTTGTCACTATCACACGGTACCCAGCATCACTTATTTCTCCCAGCATTTTCCCAACAATCTGCTTCATCTTTTTCTTCAGACAAATACGTCTGGTGTACTCCACTTTGATCTGCTCTTTAGATTTGTCCTGGCAAGTCTGCTGAACCAGAGCTGCTTTTCTTGTTTTACCAGTGAGAGCCTCTGCCACCTCGTCTATGTTCTCTAGTGAAAGCTGCTGAGTGTTATGAGACACCACAGACACTGAGGACTTGTGAAGGATACATTTCTTCCCTCCACTCTTGGACACCACAGTTATCCCTGGATCATTGACCTGATTTCTTTTAAGCATTTCAGCCATTTCAAGCAGCTTTTGATGTCTTTCCTGTGTTTTGATTCTAATAGCTTTTCTATGTTCTTTCAGCATTGCCTCTTTATTAAGCCCATCAGGCAATGTTTTCCAGCTAATTTTTTTCCTTCTAATATTTGTATGTGCCAGAAGTAATAACTGGTCATTTGAAATACCCAACTCAGACAGAAGAGATTTTAGCCTTTGCTTTCTTTGTTTACTTTTCTTCATTTTAAGTACCTCTTTGATTTTTTTCAATTTTTCTTTATCAACAGTTTCAAAAAACTTTTTCTTAACAGATCTGATTTCATCTTCAGATGGCCCCATAATAAAGCGTGAATTAATGAGTTCCTCTTGTACAGCTGGCAGATCACACAATGCAGCAAGTTTTGCAACTAACTGCTTCAGATCTATTAAAGGGTTAGATGAACTTGAGGAGGTTACTGTTTGAGGATGACCTTCAATTTGGCTTTCATTTTTAGCTATATTTTTACTAGATGTAGAATGCATTAGCATTACAAAAGCTGCATCTTTATCTGACATGGTTCCATCACCAACATTCTCATGATGATTACCTGAGGAAATAATGCTACTTAAATCTTGTCAACTTTTTGCATTCAAAAACTGTCTCAGAAATTAATCTGTAACTGAGAATTTTTATTTTTCCATCAGCTTTAATATTTATCTTGTAAAAAATAAAAAAATTTATAATGGTGTAATAAAAGATTCTCATTATCTTACAACATCAAATTTTGAATGTGTACAATATTTGATGATAAATAATAAATTATGCTTTAAGTTACTTTTAACATTAAATGAAAAAATTATTTTCTCATCAATTTTGTTGGGACATAAAAGATGAAAAGTGATGAAATCCACATTAAAGAAATTTCTGGTGTTTTAAAAAAATAACAGAAAAAAAAACAAAGTAATAATTTCAACAGCAAAAAACAAACAAAACTTTTATAATTTTAAAAAATTGTAATGGTATTGAATTCTAGTAATTGTATAAAATACTTAATGTTTAATATTTTAAACTATTGAGTTTTTCAAGATTTATTAATGATATATAGTACAATCAGAGATGGCTCATCTGTAGTGGGCACCAGCAACATGTATACATCAACAATATGTATACATTTTTAAAAGCCATTTTCTCTTCACACCAAAGCATAATCTCAATAAAGTGGGTTTTTTTTTATTTCATTGAGACAAAAGTTAAAAAAGATTAATGACCTGCTCATGCTTAATTACTCTTAGATAAGTTTCTATAAAAGTGACATTTAAAAATTTTTTATTTTCATTTGAATATCATTAATAAGCTAAAACCCTACCTTATAAAATACTTTAATAATTAACTGTTAAACATTTATTAAAGCAGAATATACACATTTTTTTCTGTTTTTCTGTGACTTTAACAAGTTTTTTTAATTAGTGATTAAGTTAAAATCATCAATATAAAATGATAGGGCGTCTCATTTAATCCTTGACATCTAATCTTCTAGTTATGTAATCCCTAGACACTTAATCCTGTATAAAGCATTATGAAATGTTTCTTTTTAAGGGTTGGATTTAAATATTATTAATGAATTAAAATATTTGGATTGAAAATTTTTATGTTTATATGAAACAATTATTTGAGTTTTAATTTAATTACAAAGTTAGCGAAAATTTTATTTAACAATTATTATAGTTAAACTTTCATTTTTAGGATTGAGTGTGTAGGAATCAAAATGACCATACCTTCAACTATATTCAAAGACTGATAAGCTCAACATGAATTGCCTTTGGCAACCAGTTTATAGTGTCATGAGCCATCAATGAGTACAATTATATCTGAAGTATATAAAATCTAATTGAAAACAAATGGTAGAAAAATGCAATTATTTCCTTCAAAATGGTATCAACAGAAAGGAATTCTCAACATTGTAACAAAAACTTGTAACAAGTGATTTTTACTTTGCACAAGAAACCCTGAAGGCTGAACAACAGGAAGTGAGCTTTTTTCCTGTAGCCGTAGGCCAATACACTCTTTAGTTGTTTCGTTTGGAGACATAAGCTCCTTAACACCAACTGGAAGATAGGAACAGTTACTATCTTCCCTGTCACCTGCAGATATAACCAATCTGTTTATGCCCTTTTAATTATTCAAAACCATTTTCATTTTTGAATATAGTATACATTAGTCTCATTTTATCTTTGGCACATGGGATTATCATTTATTTTAATTTTAAAATACATAACATATAGGTGATAAGTTTTACAAAAGTGAAGTTGGTATTCAAATTTCTAATACAATCATCCACCTGTAAATATAAACAGACCCTCATTTTTTCAAGTTTGTAAAAAGATAATACTCTTGAAAATATTAATGGGCATACAAAAGTACTTCAAAATACATTTGAACAATGTGATTCATAAAAAATTTCTCACATCCATGAACACAAAATGGTATGCATGCTGTGCCTTTGTTTTAATAATTGTACATTAAATCAAGAATGTCTTGTTGGACTGTTTGACCTGTTCTAGCACTAGAAGATTCTCGTCTTGTTGCAGCCTCACCATGTGTGGTTGCACAGTCTGGTATCATATAATCAGCTTTCACCAATCCATCTTCCAACAACAGCTCTTCTTCTGCTTCGGTCACCTCTATGGTCTCTTGTGTACTTCTCAGCCTTAAGTTTTTAGTATTTGAACTCTCTTGCACTTTACTATCCTTGTGTTTACTAAATTTCATGTTTCTCTTAAATAACCTGTACTGACGCAGCCTTTCTGCAGCCTTTGCTCTCAGCTCCTTGAACTTCTCTGGGTTGTTTTTTCTTAAGTTATCCTGATATTTTTTAGCTCGCTCATTATTGTATCTTTTAAATCCCTCGGGATCTAATAGTTTTTTCTTGCGCCTCCATTCTCGACTTCTACCAAGCCTGTACCATTCCTCCTTAGCAGCAGGATCCATATATCTTAAACTTTTTGTGGGTGGCAAGAGGGATTTTAAATCTTCAATGGGTATTAGTCTTATTTCATTATTGGTTTTCTCTCGCAGAGTGTGCGGGAGTTTACCTACTTTACGCAAATACATGATCCTATTCATTAAGCTCTTTTTTTCAATAACACTAGGATCTTGATTTGCTTCACTTATTCGTCTTCTTTCGCGCGCTTGCTCTTCTTTCGATAAACATCTATACCGTTCATATCTGTCTGGATCCTCTTTCCGTAAACGAACTAAATAGCTGCCTCTATGATGTTTAGGTAAAGGTTGTTGTCTAAATATCTCATGAGAGGTCTGTTCTTCAGCAGAAGCTTCCTCTTTAGCAAGCGTAACAGCTATAGCAGACAACAGAGAGCTACTAGATAAGTTTGTTTCATTAAGTTTGGCAGCACAGCTAACAGATCTGGATGAAATATTAACCAGTTCCTCCTGGTGTCTTTCTGCTGTGTTCTCTGTATATGGATCTTGAATATAAATTTTATCAGGTAAAGGTAGTTCAGTGCTTATTTCTGTATTTTGAAAAGGTATCAAAGTGTCAGCAAGTACCGCTATACTCTCAGAAATATCAGATTTGCAATCCTGAATAAAACTCACATTTTCTGATGTAAAATTCTCATGAGTTGAAAGTATTGTACGTGCTGTATCTGAAGTAATAACGGGTAAAAGCTGTGTTGAGTCTGTAAAAAGTTTGTGAGCTACTGATGACGAAGATAAAGTTGAGCTTCTAGGCAGTGAAGGTTTTTCTATTATGATTGCCTTAGACATAGGAGTGGAAGTGGCAGGAACTTTGTCAATTTTAGATAGAACAATGCTTTGGTCATTGCTTGAAATTAATGTATCCCTACAATTTGTTTTAGCCAGATTTAAACAGGAAGGTTCAGATATGACAGACTGAGAAATATATTTTGCTGGCTTAATTGTAATAGCCACACCATATTTTTGTGCAAGTTCTGAAAACACTTTCATCATTTCTTGCTTGTCAGGCAGTTTGTTCTTTAATTTGCAAAAACTATTATATCGATCAAGATATTCCCTACAAGAAAACAATGCACTTGTTTTTTTCAAACGTTGCCTTGCCAGTTCCCTATTATCGCTGCATCTGAACTTTGTATCCATCAAAGCAATGTTACCTGTGAGATACAATTAGGAATTTACACTTCCTTGATACACAGTTAAGCTCTCTTCTCTATTGGCATTCATTTAGCAGGGGTTTAACTTTTTGATGGAAACAGCACAAAAGCACCCTATATTCATTCTAAAGCTGACTGGTTCCTATAAAAAAATTTTATGTTTTCACTGTTTACAGTGACAGATTAAACAATACCAGCAATTTCATTATTTGATACCCTAGAAATTTTTAAAATCTGCAATGACCATAGTTATCATGATGATCTATTAAAGATCAGTCTATGAATGAATACTGATGTTTTTTAATCATAGTTGTTTTATAGACATTGTATGCATTTTTTCCATTACATTAAGTTTTCCATTAAATTCTATAAAAGTAAATGTGCAACAATACTATATTTATCACCTTCATGCCACAACAGGTCAGTTACTGCTTGATAATTTTTAAAGGTAGAATGAAAAGAGGTCCATTCTATAATATGGTAATAGCTGCAACTACTACTTCAGCATTTTAAAAAAAAAAAATCACTCTTATCAGGATTAGTAATTACATTTTTATAACTATATGTTGAATATATGTATATATAGTAAAGAAAAATATTGAGTGAGGGGAAAAAATGTAATGTCTTGTTTTTCCAAGTGATATCAATACACGTACCTTTAAACAGTGTTTAAACAGAAATGGGTACTAAAAGAAAGGTCTGTATTTTCCACAATTATTAACATCTTTAGCACTGGTTATATTTGTTGCATTAGAACAGGTACCATTAAACTAGTCTTTTGGAATTGCATACCACATTTTCTTATTCATTAGTAAATGTAAGAAAGATTTTGCAATATATTATATTTTTTTTAAATTAAGACAAGGAAGAGTTTTAATCAACTTGCTAAATATGAATTTCAGTGGGCATATTTTAAACTGAAATTATATAGCTATCCAGTAATGTATATTCTATGCTTTCAGCATTTGGTTTGTTGGTACAATGTTTTAAGTTATTTCCATAGTAAGTTTTTGTTCATGTTTTATGTACCTATGAGTTAAAATAGTGGTTAGTAGCACAGAGTTTAAAATAAAATTGAAGATAAGATCTAAGATAGTAAAATAAATACTCACCCAAGTCATTTACTTTTCTTCGTTTTCTAGTGCGTCGTGTATGAACACTTATAGATTCTGTAAACAGGGGAAAATGTCTTAAATTATAGTTAATGTTTACCTTTCTTAGTTCTAAATAAGTACATTACACAATACTTTTTTTTAAAATGTACATACAAACTGTTAAAATAGCTAACATGTACATTAAATCTATTTTAAAGAAATTATTTTACCATCATATGATGCACTAGGACCAGCAATGGGGAAAGCTTCACTTCCTTCTACTTGTTCATAATCACCTAAAATAAAAAGAATTTTAAAAAGCAGAATATTAGAATTATTTTATTTATAGACATTAAATTAGAAATAAGCACCATAAATTAACTACTTGGACACTGAAATAGCATAGACTTTTACAGCACGTTTCTTATAATTTAAACTAATAAACTCTAATACTTTGTTAACTCACTGAATATACAATAACCATTTACTCAATAGTTAAAACTCTAATTAGCTAAAAAATTAATATTTTTAAACTCAAAAATTAAGAATAAAACCCTAACACTTGTGTATTTATAACAATAATACATTATTAAAATTGAGATTTATTTATATTCAGTGAACAAAGGTCATCACAAAAAAGTGATGCCAATTATATAAAATTGTACAAGGCTTTTAAGAAATAATAATTAATACCAGAACATGTTTCAATAAGGTTTTACTTTTAATGCATGAAGAACAGAAACTGCTAATTTAATATGGGTACATCTTGTACCTTTGCTTTTACTCGCATACTAGTGGTATTCAAAGAGCCATTATCTCTCTAGCTATAAAATTTAACTTTAAAAAAAAAGTCATGTTCTCCTTTCAGACTTGATGACCCATAGTGCAGAAGAAGTAGAATTTATGTTTTTTGAAAAGAGCAAAGGAAGGAATGGGGTGGTCAACACTATGCACAGCCAGGTGGACTCAGTGATGTCCTATCTACAGATTCAAGTCAGAGATTCTAACTCATGACTTTTGGGTTGGCAGTCACACACTCTCTCACACAGTCCCATAAAAAAATTAACACTTAAAATTTTACTACAATAAATTTGAGACAGCTAAACAAAATACCTGGAGAAGCTGGAAGCACCATACAATCATTAGAATCATCAGCCTCTTCAAGTTTGACTACCATTTGATTAGGCTGGTCCCCATGTCTATCCATAGGTTCAACAGACACAGAATAGTTCTGATTATTTTCATCAGCTCCAGCTGAGTTTTCCTCCTGTTGGTGTGTTTCTACTGAGTTGTTTGAATTCTTTGATTGTCTTAACCGTCTGTTTGTATTATGGGGAATTTCACTAAACATAATTTCTTGTTCTAGTTCAGATGCTGAAGGCTTTTTATTCAACTGTTTTAATGGTGGGCGAGAATGATAGCTGTTGCTAAGAAAGGTTGTAGATGAGTCTTCACCTTCTTTGGAGACATGTTCATCTACAATGTAGTCAAATTTGTACTTTCTATCAACTCTCACATTTATATGTCCCACTAACTCGATGCTTTCATCAAAATCAACCTGGCCATTGCACAAAATTTGAAGAGATTTAACCAGAGATGAAATGAATTTAGCTGCAGCTGGATTTATTTCTTGTTCAGGCATCTTTAAAATTGGTATCTGTAGATTTAAAAATATAAACAATTTCATGAATTGGGTTATTTAATTATTATTTAAAAACTATGTATGTACATCACACTCACGTACCCATGACATCTAACTTAATGAAACTTTTTGTAAGTTAAGACAATTAAGGGTTGCTGCCCAGACTAACTTCAACCACCCAACAAAACAAAACAAAAATCATAACATCTTGTAAGTAATAAAACTTTATATTCATCATGATCTTGTTTACTAAGGAAATATTATTTATTACATCTATATATATATAATACTCTTCTTGGAGACACTAGAAAACAAGCTGTAAGCGCTCCCTACCTCCCCACCCCTACATGGTCTGGTGAGCTTTGGTTCACGCTAAATGTTTACAACCGTAGAGCCGGGTTTAGTGACGGCTATTAGAGGCAGATCATTTAGTTGGAAACAATTTTAAACTTAGGGGAGGTAACTAAGAGGAGGCTGCTTTCACGGGGGGGGGGGGGGTAGTATCGTCCTTAATGACCTACTGATAGTGTTTTAAAGCAAATATATTTTCAGTGGCAGCATTGGTACTGTCGAATTCACAAATTATGAATTACTGAAAAGTAGAAAATAAAACAACTAAATAGCGGCGTATGATAGTATGATATGCCGCGGGTCGGCTCGTCTTTTTAAACCTGTCTACTTAGGTCGATAATTTGTTTAAATAAATTCGAAGTGTTTGTTAACTTATATTATAAATAATCACCGCAATCATTATTACATTTTTAGTAGATGAGATATCTAAACTTATTGTTATTTATAGATCCAATTAGAATTAGAACAAGTTTCTTAAACTAAATTTCATGAAAAAAAAGTTTTAGGCTACTGTCCTATCGTACATAAATTTACGAAACTAACAGTTTGGCTTCAGGCTTGCATTGTTGTGAAGAAAAAAAATGAGACATGGAAGTGCTCGGAAAATCGTAAATGGATTCTAGATTTCTAGATCTAAGTGCTACAGCAGGAGGCGTGTACAATTTAAAACAATACAAGATTAATTTAAAAATAGATACCCATAATATCAAACAACTAAAAATAGATTAGACAGGAAACTAAATCTAGTTCTTGTAAAGACAGTATAGTATTAGGACAGATGATAGATCAACTTTTTTTAAAACCATAAAATAAAATAAAAGGGGGGGGGGGGGGGAGAAGGGAAGGAGGAAGAGAAGGAGTGACATCACCAAAGATTTTAAATATATAACGCATGCCTGCTGAACTCAGTGACCCCCCGCCCATGTTGGAATTTTTCTATCATGGAAAAAAATTCTTGAATAAATTTTTTTAAAACTTTTCTTTACATCAAGAAAAGATTCTAAAAAAACAACACTCGTGACATATGCTATGCCAAAAAAATAAAGCAGGACTGATAAACTTCGGATTCGAACTCAGTGCTTCTAGGGTCAACAACCACACTGTTCTGTTGACTCTGCCTTTCGACAATATTAGGCATTTTAACTCTGAAGACGGCTTAATCTTCTTATAGCAAGATGAAATATAAAGTGATTTTAAACATATTTTATTAATAAAATTAATTGTTTTGAAAATGTAAATAGTATTAGAATCTATTACTATACACTAATAGTAGATTATCTAGTTCTATATTAGAGTATTAGTTATGTTTCGAGTATTGAATAGTATTCCCGATACCTATTTTTAGAATGTGTTCTACAGAATTGGAAAATACTCTCAACACTCTCATGTTCTGCATGGTCACTGGGTAAATTTTAAACACCATTCCTGTATTTTTTAATGAACACATAACATTTACAGTAATCACATGATGGCAGGATTTTCACCTTATAAAAACAAACTATCTGTGGCAGGGCTATATATCCCAGAAAAGCATTTAAACATTTGGTTTGGAGAATGGAGGCTAAAGTCAAAAGTTGGTTTTATCAAAATTAATAGAACTTTTAAAATATCAAGGATGTAGGTACAAAAGTGAGCGAGTAAGTAAAGCATTATTAGTTTTATCAGTCTATGAAAAAAGAAATCAAATGTTGTGAGTCCTTTTTTTAATAAGACCAGCTCTCTTATCACAACCACCCCACAAAACCCCCAATAAAACTACTAATCTACTTCTGAGGTAACAACCACTGCTGTTCCTTGATAACAGAGAAGCAGAGGATTTTTCTTATGTCATTTATGACCCACTTGGCTCCGTAGGGAGAAGATGAAACAGGAATTAATCCCAATGCTATTTCTTCAAAATGTCTTATCTCCATAAAACCATTTGTTTTTAAAATAGACGCTGGTAATCTATCGTTTTAGGCCAGTTACATGACAGAGAGGTGAATCCTTAAATTTTGGTAATAATTTCACATTTTTAGGAGGATTTGTGTCTTAAAAGTTACAAAAATGTTTCAAATACCTGTTTTTAAACAATTTTATTAAAACTTTTTAAAGATTAGCGATGTTTTCATTAGATGCAATCAAGCTTTTTTTTTTATAGTTAGAGATTCAGGGGAACCACTGTAATTAACAGATTGCCACTGTTTGTGTACAGGGATGTGACCAGACCAGGAAAAAAAATTAGGAAATTTTCTTCGGATAATAACTCAATATGTTTTATCTACTTTTTATCGCGGTTAAGCAGCTTCATACCGCAGTTAAGCAGCTTCATACTGTTACTGTACTAATTAATTGTTTAATGAAGTTAATATTTAAATACGAGAAGTTTATGTTACTCTAAAATAACATTGAAAGTCTTGTCTAATTGCAATTTAATGTTTACCTTGTAACGTTACCCTATCTATCAGCCAAATAGAAGGAGAACGTCCCCGGATTCTTTTTTCGGGGTCATATGCAAATGCCTTACGGCCAAAGTGGATGAACACTTAACACAACGACCACTAGGGCTCGAATTTAATGTCTAGGGAAGCTAGTGATACTATTGTAATTAACACTCATCCAATCTACATACGACCTTTTAATCAGCGAACTCAGAAGTGGCAGAACACAAGGTTGAACTAAATAAAATATTTAATGTATAAAATATCAAAAACCCAACTTACAAAATGTAGGAAAAATCACTATCACAGATTTCTACACTGTCTAAAGAAACAGCTACAGGCCACACAACACTGCTGTAGCTTCAGGAATTACTTAGCGACAAGTAATATTAAACTAGAAGACTAAATCAACTTAAGAAAGCAAGGCACACACAGGTCTTAAGTACTCTCACGTTCAAATGGTCAGACTCTATAGCCGGACAATATGGACGGCTGTCTGATCAAGGTAAAACGGCCTCGTAGACTGCCAGGTCAAGATAAACTGCCTCGTGTTGCGAGTGTGCAGTGCAATTAAAGACTCCTGTGACAGGGGAGGTTATCCTCAACTCATGTCGCCATTGGTTGGGATAATCATCTGATCAGAATCATTCAATCAGATTTTAATGGAAAATTTCTATGTCTCAAACACCTTAATAAGTCAGTGGAAAAACCCCAGGTGTTACACCATCATTCCATATAAGGAATTATACAATGTCAAAATAAAAATGACTCGACCTAAGTAGGTCACATCCCCTCCCTTTTTGGAAGTGACAGATAGGTTCCACAAAAACATACATAAGGAACCAATCTGGCAATGAAATAACAAAAATGTTTTACAAATGTAGGCAATCAAAATCATAATACCAGATGAAAATATCCCTGAACATAAAAGGGAAGTAACTCCAACTTTTACAATTGGTGAAAGGGGAGTAACCCTTCAAAAAGTAATTATACATCAAAATCCCTCAAAAAAGGGTATTACAATTTTTCCATGAGAATATTAAAAGTGGTAAACCCGCCAGGGTAAGACCTTTATTTCAATGACTAGCTACAATATCAATTGAGTCATATGAGACATATTATTATAAAAGATTACATATAATCAAAAACCACCTTTAATTAAGGTTCACCTGAAAATAAACAAAATATTCAACAGGATTGGAATTTTGAAAAAAATTCAAAACTCACACCACTCATTTTCATATGAGTGACACTCAAACAAAACCTGTTTATGGTCCTAATGAACCACAAAGCATGTCACATGATCAATGTGTACAACAAGATTTTACATCCTTGACAAACAATCAGCCACAACATTATCACTACCCTTAATGTGTGAAATTTCCAGATTAAAATTTTGGAAATATAAGCACCATCTCAATATTCTTTGATTTGTCTGCCCTAACTTAGAGGTAAATTTCAGGGGATCATGGTCAGAAAACACTCTGACTGGATTGGTTGAAGAAGAGACATAGACTTCAAAATGTTGTAATGACAAAACTAAAGCTAAAGCTTCTTTTTCAATAGTAGAATAATTCTTTTGGTTTTCATTTAACTTCCTGGAAAAAAAGGCAATGGGATGGTCAATTCCCATGTTGTCTTCTTGAAATAGGACTGAGCCAATGGCTAAGTTGCTAGCATCAATGGCAAGTTTAAAGGGCTTGCTAAAATTTGGTGCAGCCATAACAGGAGCATTTGATAAAAATGACTTAATGGTTAAAAAAGCTTCTTGACATTTATCTGACCATTCAAATTCAACACCCTTTTTCAATAATGCAGTAAGAGGTTCAGCAATAGCTGAAAAGTTTTGACAGAACCGCCTATAGTAACCAGCCATCCCAAGGAACTTTTTGATCTCTTTACAATTTTTGGGAGGTGGTAACCTTACAATAGCATCTACTTTAGCTTCAATGGGCCGAACTTGGTTCGTTCCCACTTGATAACCCAAATAGGTAACTGAAGCTTTACAGAAATCACTTTTATGTAAGTTTACAGTAAAATTAACTTCAGACAATTTTCTAAAAAGGTTAGTCAACTGAACAATATGTTCTTCAAAAGTATTAGAAAATACAACTATATCATCTATGTAGGCCTCACATTGGTCTATGTCAGCAATGACAGAGTTAATGACTCTCTGGAAAGTTTGACCAGCATTTCGCATACCAAAAGGCATACGTTTGTATCTATAAAAACCATTAGGGGTTA